GGCCCCTGGGTGGGGCCCGACTAGTAACCAATGCCAAATCCGGCGAAACAACTGGCCGCTGTGATACAATTGTATAATAATAATAATAATAATGAGACTTGGTTGATACCTAGGATGCTGGCAGCAACCTGTATCAACCGTCATTGCCCGTCAGTTATATTTGTGATACATTTTTAAATGTTCAGTTGACTTAGTTTCATGTTTAATGAATAAAAGTTCGTAATATTAATAACAATAATTGTAATATTCATATTAATGTTTGCTTATATGCAATACAATTTCTTATGTTCTTATATATGTTAATCTTTCATCTTCTAGTTTCCACCTCTTTTATCCAACCATTGATAAAACATATCCCATGTTAAAAAGCATTCTGTTTCTTCCTTAGCCTTTATAATTAATGTTAATCTATCCATCTCTGCACAGTCTAATATTTTTCTAAGTCTACTTCCATCTGTAGGCATGTCTTCATGGCGCTATTACATTCTCAATGCGTTTAGCCGATGATGGCTTTGGCGATGCAAGGTGGGCCTAACCGCCTTCAGATCGGTTTCCCACATTGGTTTGCAACAGCGGCGGGAATCAGAGTCGTCAGGAGAAAGTACAGGGAGTCCTTGACTTACAACAGTTCGTTTAGTGACCAAAGTTACAACGGTGCTGAAAATAGTGACTTAGCACCGTTTTTCACACTTAAGACCGTTGGGGCATTTTCCTCCACCTGGTCATGTGATCAAAATTCAGACGCTTGGCAACCGACTCACCTTTACGACGGTTACAGTGTGCTGGGGGTCATACAATCCACCTTCCGACAAGCAAAGTCAATGGAGTGACTCACTTAACAACAAGAAAGATCGAAAAATGGGGCAAAACTCACGTAAAGAAATATCTCACTCAACAACAGAAATTTTGGGCTCAGTTTGTGGTTGTAAGTCAGTGGTGGGATTGAAATTTTTTTTACTGCTGGTTCTGTGGATGTGGCTTGGTGGGCGTGGCATGGATTGGTGGGTGTGGCTTGTATACTGTAAAGTCTCTGTTCTCTCCCCACTCTAGGGGAAGGTTATTGCAAAATCCCCATTTCCTCCCGATCAGCTGGGACCCAGGATACAGAGAATAAACAGGGGCGGGGCCAGCCAGAGGTGGTATTTGCCGGTTCTCCGAACTACTCAAAGTTTCCGCTACCGGTTCTCCAGAACTGGTCAGAACCTGCTGAATACCATCTCTGTTGTAAGTTGAGGACTGAAAGGAAAAGGAGCAACAGCTGTAAATCAGGAAAGGTTGATAAACGTTCATCTGAAATTTTGGGAGAAATAAAAAGAGCAAAAAGCTTTTAAGGGCCTTTTCGCCAGGGCTGGGTTGAATTGCTCCGGCAAGAAAGCCGTATATAAAATTAGCTATCTGAATTGCTCACCGTTGTTATGCTTTTACTCCTAATCACTGTCAAAACCCCTGGTTTCTTGGGGGCAGGAAATCGTGGTGCCCTTAAATGGCGTCCTTGAATTAAGGGGGAAAAAAATTTGTGAAGAGTTTGTATAGTTAAGGATGAGTTGAAGACATAAGTGGGGCCAACGGTGCAGAGAGGAAAATGTTGCCAAGCTATATTTGACCTCAAATTAGGTGAAGGTCACTCTGTTTAGAGCAGTACTTT